AGTAACAGGTGTTTCTATCTTGAGAAGAGAACTAAGTAGACTAGGAGCCAGGGGAAGAAAAGTAATTTACATTTTGCTTTTGCCTGTTGACTCTTCAAACATCCATGTATTCATTTCTCTAATAATAAGAGTTCATTACTGAATGAACACTTTTATATTTTCTTAGTTACCACACGGCAAATGAAAAGAAAATAGACCTAAAATTCAGAAGTTCCTTATGAAACTTACAACTGGAAATTTGTATAGACAGGAAGACAGGGAATGTCCTTCATATAATCAAGGTAGGAAATATGCTTTTCATATTTGTTTTTTAATTCATTTCACCTTTGCTTTCTAATCTCATGTCCAAATGCTTGCAATTCCACACAATGTTTTAATTATGAATCACCATCTGTCCACATAGTTAAGTTTGGGAGCAGAGTTATCTGAATAACTATACATACCTCTTCCCTTTCCTATTACATAAAGCAGCAATTAACCCACCACCCTAATCCTAACTCATGCCAGTCATGTGCACCCATTATGGATTTGGGTAAAAATACCATCAGCAATGATGGCCACAGGCATTAAAGTTTAAATTCTCAAACTTAATTCTACTTTTTGAAGCATCTAAAAGATCACCCTAATAATACAAAAGAGCTAATTAAGGTATTCATACAGAAAGAAAATAAGAGATGAGTTATGCAAATGACACATATTAGTGATACCATTAATGGAAATATTTTTATGAAATGCATAGAGAATTAGCTTTGTATGGCCTGAAATATTTGTATTCTAAAAGATTTTAAAAATACAATATAAATAAATGCTTTCAGGTTTTGCTTTCAGTGAACCAGAAAATAAGATTGTATTTCCGATTCATTTTGTGCATTATTTGTATGGCTGATTGAGGCTTGTGCATATTAAAATGTTCAATAGGTAAATATTTTATCTTTGTATTTTATAAATAAATGACCCAATGTTTGGTTTTAATTTGAATTTTTTAACTAGGGACTTAAGTTTATTCATAGTGAAATACTATGAAATACAAAGCTCGGCCACAGTGAATTATATGTAAGTCTATATTTTTAAACTACTTTCTGACTTGAAATTGTATTGATCCTAGAAAACATGAGGCATTATCTTGAAGTTAATTTCAGTTTTAAATGAGTCTGTGTCTGTGTGGAGGGGATGGGGAAATAGATTTTAAGAAGATGTGGGAAATGGCAAGCAGCGAGGTAAGATGAAAGGGACTATAGTTTAGAGTGTCCACTTTATTTATTTGCACAGCTTGGATTCACCATGAAAACATTTCACTTTGTTTTTTTCCAACATCCAATGTAGAAACAGGTTCAAGAGGAATTTGTAGACACAAGGAGAATTGACAGCTCCTAGAATAGAAACCAATATGTTCCTTCTTAATAATCTCAGCCCCTGGCCTATTTGAAATGGCCTGCAATGAACTTTCTTTAGCCTGATATGTGGTTTCTTTTTTTTTTTTTCTTCCAAGGCTTGTATGGTTAATCATTGATTTAAGATTTGTAAGGCCGATGAGAATTTGTCACACAGGCCAGTCTGTTTATACCAGCTAGTCAATCACAGAAGAGATCCATCAAGTCAGTGGTCCAGAAGGCATCTAAATTGTTCTTAGTTTTTTTTTTTTTTTCACTGCATCTTAATGGACCACAGTGATTAAACAATTCAAGTTATGGTTCTTGCACTGGCTCCTTCTCTTTTTCCACTAAATCTATCCTACATCAGGCACAGTAACCCAGGAATAAAGAAGTCCAGTGCTTGCAAGATCTCATCCAAATTCCTAATGTTCAAATTATATAGTTCCTGCCATCTTCATTGGACTCTCGTTCCAACCTTCCTTTCAAGATAAAGTGATTATCTTGACAGCCCTCCAAGCATACTCCACGTGGCTCAGCACTGTCACTTAGCTCGGCGTCCCCTTGTCTGGAATGCCCCTCCCCACTTCACCTTTTGCAGACTGTTTCTTTGCTTACTAAAATTTTATCTTCCTTTAGACCAAGACCAAAGGTGAGCTCTTTCACAAACCTGCTAATTGGTCCAACAAGAATCATCTCTTTTTTTGAGTGAGATCCTGCTCCATGAGCACTTACAGTCAGCCTTCTCTTAATGTTTATTTATGTCTTACTCCTCATCTTAGACTCTAAGCTCTTGAGCAGGAACTAGAGCTTATCCTTCCTAGTGTACAGTGAAGCTTCTTGTATGGTGTTTCTTAAAGGGGTTCAATTGATTATATGAATGAACAATGGAAAAACAAGCAAGCCATTTATTAATCCGAAAACTTGTACATGAGATTCTGGTTTTATTTTGAAGAAACTCAGTTATTTCTGCTATGCCTCTTTAAATGAGGTATAGAGATTTATATACAGAAGTTCCAGGCTAAAATATTTTAAGTAAAGAAAGAGAAAAAAAAAAAAAAAACCTTTATCTTTGTATCAGCATTTTCTCCAAAGACGACAGAGATCATTCAAGACATCAGGTTTATCACTACTTGGGGGATCTTGTTGAAGGAAAACGGCACTTTGAAGCAGTAAAGATGACACAGACATCTACTTATCTGCTGGGTTTGTCACCAACCACTCCACTAAGACAAATCGTCATCCACATCAGCTGAATCACTGACATGATTCAAAAATAAAACAACTTTAGAAATTGAAAATGCATCTTTTTTTTAAACCACCGTGTGTACAGATTTTAAACACATGATTTAAGAATTCACTTTTTAAAATGCAATGGAACACTGGTAACTTAAACATCAGAAAACAATAATTATCTGTATTCTTTATCAACATGCACATGGTGAACCAAGAAGACATAGTCTTTGGGTACTATGATTTCCATATAGGCCTTTTTAAAAAAACAAAATGCTTCATAAAGTCCTCTGCTGGACTTTGTAATTTGTGTCTGAAGATATACACTTTTTTCATCTTGCTTTTTAAGAGCAGAATAACCAAGGCATCTCATACAAACTTTTGCTACATCCTTCAAAGTGATGTACCGATTCCAATTTTTCTCCACTTTAAGGTATTGTCTTAAATGTCTAGATTTTTATTTTTTCATGTAGTACAGGTGATTGAATCCAGACCATCATGCATGCTAGGTAAGAGTCACTGAGGTACATCCCCTGTCCTTATTTACTTTATTATTATTATTTTATTTGGTGGTGCTGCAGATTAAACCCAGGGCCTTGTGCATGCAAGGCAAGCACTCTACCACTGAGCTGTATCCCCAGCGCCACCCCCATCTATTTTTACTTATTTATTTATTTATTTTTGGTACTGGAGATTGAATTCAGGGCCACTTAACCACTGAGTCACATCCCCAGCTCTATATTTTGTAATTTATTTAGAGATAGGGTTTCACTGAGCTGTTCAGAGCCTCACTGTTGCTGAGGCTGGCTTTGAACTCACGATCCTCCTGTCTCAGGCTCCTGAGCTCCTGAACTGCTGCACCATCATATCTAGCTATCATCTCTTTTTATTTTGAGACAGGGTCTCTGTAAGTAACAAAGTTGTTCAGGTTGGCTTTGAACTTGAGTTTCTTCTGCCTCAGCCTTCCCAGTGCTGGCATTATAGGCATCTCACTTAGATTTATCTTCTTAATGTTTATTACCTACCTAATTAACAATTAATGACTCAAACTAACCTTTAAAGCTTTATTTAAAATTGTCCCAACCTGTTTTCTAATATACAACTTTTTTTTTGAGTAAACATTTCCCTAACTTCACTCACTCAAACTCATTTATATATTATCTCAAACATATTCTCCCCATTTCCTCTTCTGTATACTCACTCTGACGCTCTCCCCAGGACCTACTCTTCCTTCTTTATAAAACTATAGAAATTGTGGGACACTCTAATTATTTCTCCATAAAGTCATAAATGAGTCTCACAGATGTTTGAACTTCATCATTCCTGGAAAATTGTATCTTATCCTTTGTATTTTCAGTTTCACCTTATCTAACTGTACACTTGGCTACCTCTTTCTAAAGCATAAGGAGCTTAACATGCCTTTGCTAAAAGAAGATGCTCAAAAAAAACTTTTGTTTGTTAGTATTTCTAATTATAAATTTTTCCCCTGAAACCTATTTTCCTGAAGTCTAGGATTTTATATTAAAATATGGCATGGTTTGCATATCATCCAGAAGACCAATAAGGAGACCCAGTGAAGGAAGGAGACTCAGCTCTATGGTGCTCTAGGTGTGGACATTCTTAGTCTTTCCAATATGCCTTTGAATTTCTTTTTTTGCTTGCTTCTTTCCCTACTGTTCCTTTTTAGTTATTGTCGATTTTAACTAATTCTTTTACTTTCTCTCCCCTCTGCCTAAGGCCTGCAGTGATGTACTCTGGCGTTTTGCTTGTCTCCGTTCTAAGCACTTGAGGATTAACATACCTCTTAACTTCTGGAATATAGTGTGCATAATGACAATTGCTTTGGTAAGATATTGCTAATTGTCAAACAAACCTCCATGTTTGTGGAGAATAGCAAAATTTTAACAATTCAACCTGGTTTTCAGTGTTGATTTTTAAGACTCTCAAGTTGTCAGTCAACAAAGGTGGCATTATTCAGAAACACCCAGCTCAAGCTAATTTGCACGGGGTTGTGTGTGTGTCAAGATACTCACATCTATCAACTACATACATTAGAAGAAAATACAAACACACCAAAAGCTCCCTTAAGAACCTTTTTCTCTAGCTCTATTCCAATTTCTGCCACTTGTATAGGCTTATCGTATAAAAAAAGTGAATAAAAACTTAGAAGGAAAGCAGAGGTGAATCTAAGCTGAACATTATGCTATTTTTTATTTTGTGCTAGAAGGTTTTTCCAAAGCTATATTCTCTTAGCTAATACGCATATCCTCACAACTTCTTGCCACAAGACAATGTTTTTCCCAATAAATATCACTCTTGAAATATGGGATAAATTCAAAGTAATGACTATAGTGAAACTATAGATTATTTAAGGTGAATGGGTAGAAAACCACTTACCCCCAGTTGCCACAGTGATTTCACGTAGGAAATGGCCATAAAATGGAAAATCGAAGGACAGATTCACTCTCTGCAAGGAACAACACCAGAAAAAAAAATCAATAATGTGCAGAATAGTAAAAGTAAAATGAAGAGCCTTTCACTTAAAAAAAAAAAAAACAAAAAAAAAAACTGATGCTTCTACTTTCCCCCATTATTATTGTAGTTGACCTTTAAAAACTGAATCCTGGATGGTATTAAAGAATACTTTCCCTGGTAATTGTTTGAAGTATGTGAAAAGATTAAAGTTTTGCTGTTCTGTTGACCTACTCCTAACTCACAAAGACTATCTACATCAAGCTATTCTCTGTACCATCACTATTGGTTTTAGTTGTCCATTGAAAGTTAAGTTCTATCACCCTGATCAGGGGTTCTTTGTAGTTTGTGTAATTCCTGCAAAATAGTAGAGTATGTTATATGTCAGACTCATTGAAGGAAAATCAAAAGATTTTTATCTTACACTGTTACATATTCCATTTGTTTTCTGTATATCCCATAATGAAAGGTAGCTTCACAGTAGAAAATATCTTGCACCTACAGATATAGAACTGGAGACTTATTTTTATTTTTAAATAATTAGTTCTCCAGACTTAGCATATTATGTCTATTTTGCAAAAGCACAAAGTTGTATGATAAATAATCCTGGTTACTAGAGAGATACTTTTATTTGATATAAAGGAATATTGGAGCATCTTAGAAAGTTCATTCATAAATTATGCCCTTCTTTTTTTCTAAAAAGGGGCCTGAACGTTTGGATCTTAATTGCTAAAAGAAAACACACACACACATACACACATACACACACATTCATGCATGTGAGTTTTTAAAAATAACTTTCATGAAAATTAAAAACCACAATACAACAAAACACAGATCCTAGCATTTGCTGTGTACTTGAAATGATAATGACGTAGCTATATTATTGCTAGGGAAAAAATAAGAAAAACAATGAATTACAACAACATGATCACCTGAAATAAAATAATCCAAAGAAAAACTAATTAGCTAGTTTATAGCCGAATCGCAACTACAAGCTACCTACAGGCATTTATGTTAAAATTCCACAATTTCTACATTATATCTCTCCTAATATACAAATTTAAAAAAAACCCAGAAAAATGTATCTGTTGGAAGTTAGCTGTTTTCCATTTTGCAAATGATTGCTTTTTTATATATCCATCAGAGATTTCTAATGACTTGGCATGAAATTAATCATTCAAAATTTACAGTAACTTTCAATTAGGTTTTCTTTCCTTTTTAATGAAAGCCACATTTTCATAAAAAGGTTTCTTTTGTGCTGACTAATGGGGACAACCAAACCCATTTTCACTGAGGTACCTGTAAAAAGTGGCCACTAATAACACAAAGATGAAAGCTGCAATAGCAAATCCATTCATCTCAAAGAAGTCAGAAATAATGTCATACAGGCACTTGCTGTACATATGGTTTTCCATCATTCCAATTTGCTTCCATGCTCATCAGTAAACTGGTAAAATTTACACCCTCAAGCATCATCACCTCACCACTGGAAATGGGTTGCTTTAAACATCTGTCATTAACAACCTCTATCAAGTACCACCAAGGATGACCTAGAGAGATATGACCTGAGTTTTCTTAGCCATTGCAACTATTTAAATTTGTTTCAAATTAGATAAAGATACATAAATACTAACATAAATTAAAGACCTTTTCTTGAGAAACAAATAGATTCTCATAGAAAATTTACAAATACACCACCCTTGTATACAACAGGAATAACTGAAATGCTTCCCTGTTAAAATGAGCAGTTGATCTTAGTTACTGCCATGACGTGCTGCACTCTGATACAGAATAGCAACAGCAATTTAGGAAGACGCTATCTTCTACGAAGCTGTGAAATCCATGCATTTCTCTTCAGTCACTATGACACTTGTCCCCCTGTGTAGGTCCTATTGGGTAGTTTTTTCTTCATAGGTGTCTTGGTTCCAGTTCCCCTGAAGCACACTGTCTAGTGTATCACTCCTCCTCTTCATATCATTCAGTCTAGAGTGTCATTGTCACTGGTAATGATATCAACATAGTGAAAATCAGTTCTAAGACCCACCGCTAACTGACCCCTGCCACTTTGAAGCTTTCTCTTTTATGCTGCCTGCTCCAGCCAGGTGTAAAGGGCATCTCTTAGTTTCTTGCATCTGCCATTCTTAACCTTGAGCTCCTGTCGTTCCTCATGACATCTCTTCTTACTGGAATAGTCGCTCAACCTTGGCCAGTCATGGCTTCCATGCCTTCAAGCCTTGGTTTAGTTTGGGTTACCTCCCAAATCGACACAGATAGGATGTGGGAAACATGAGACAAAGAAAAAAGTCAAATAAATAACAGGATTTGTTACCATTATAGCCCCTTGAGAATCAGGCCCTGTGGAGGCATTAAGAAAGAGCAGAGAAAACAACTTGAGATTGGAAATCACTAGTATGTTCCAAACAGCCTCCCACAGTTTCAGGATGGGGAAAAGTATCAACAGGAGCAGCAAATGTGAGATCGCAGGGTTCTACCTTGACTTTTTAGCTCAAAACACATGTTCCGGATATCTCTCACCTAACATTCTCAACATGCATGTACACACCTAAAGCACTGCATAAAGATCGTATTACAACCACTTCAAAGGGAAAATCACTCAGAATGACTGGTTAAGAATGGTCCCATATAGTTCAGTTGGTAGAGTGCTTGCCTTACATGCAGAAGGCCCTGGGTTCAATCCCCAACACACACACACACACACACACACACACACACAAAAGAATGGCCCCAGTGGGAAACTAGAATGTGCACCTAGGTATGGTGGATGACAAAAGCAATGTTTTTTCTTAATAACTGAGATAATAAAACAAAGTGATGGGTCACATGTAAAGGCAAAATTTGGAAAGTTGTTATCTCACCTAAAAATATACACATACCTACACATGACACAGTTAAGCACTAGAACTTCAGGAAGCACTTGGCAACTAAATGTTTACATATTCAACATAATTAACTCTGAATAATCAATCATTACTTTGTCTCAGTGTGGCATGGAAAACATATGTAAGGGGAATGTAAAGGGGTGTTTTATTTGCTTGTTCATTCATCCAGACAGCCATTGAACAACCATTTATTCATCACCTTGTAAACACCAGACACTTTGTGGAGAACTGGAGTAAGTCCCACTGGGGCCCCTCAGTGATGGAAAAGAACATCATTCAAGGGTAAACAATACAACCATGCAGGGGAGAGTAAGAATGTCAGAAGACAATGACCCAGAGCACAAGGCAATAGAATGGATTCTTTAAAAGAACCTGTCACAAGTGGAGTGAAAGGGGTACATGAACATATATCAAGTAAAACTGAAAGAACTTCTTGATTATTGGACATAAAGGTTTGGATTGAGTGGGGGAAATCTAGAATGAAGCAGACTTCTGACTTCTAACTTGTTGAATATGAACCACAGTGCCACCAGCTGAGAAAGTAACTACAGAAAAAGAGCTATTTGGTTAGTTTTGAGAAAATTTGCCGCATTACTTTTTTGTTATGTATCCTCTGATTATATACTAAAAATTAATTTAAAATGACCCCAAACTGTCTAGGAAACAAAAAACTCTTCTACAATTAAAGAGGTTAACAGAGTCTTGGGCATTGTCACCAAAAGCCATAGCAAATAAAAAGAGACATCACAGAGAAACTATGGTATAAATTACTGTACATATCATACTACCTTGAATCCCTTAGGAAATGTTTAATGTTAAGGGAATAAAAAGTTCAGGAAAGTGGTCATGTGAAGGCTCAATAAACTGATTTATAGTCTGAGTAAATTATAGAATAAAAGCTCAAAAGTGCAGTATGTGCAAGGCCCTGGTTCTATCCCCAGCAATGGTTAAAAAAAAAAAAAGTGTTTTTTAAAGCTCTGAAGTGATATCTTGAACATCATGAGAGACACAATAAAAGTGACTAAAATTGTTACCTAGTTTCTTATGCTTCAGAGAAAGGGGTTAACTATTGGAAAAATGGAGATGGTAATTTTGAGACAAGCAAAAGAAGTACTAGTTTTTCACATGGTGCAGGCTAAATTGAGGGATATGGTTTGACAATCTGGTAGAATATACAGCGTCCAGGTGGTTTGGTGTAAATTCATGGCAGCTATAGCCATATGTGATTGTGGCCTTTAAAACCAGATGGTGCTTCCATGAAAATGTCCCGTTGAACTTTCTGTTGGCCACAGGCTGTTGTGTTGGGGACCATATGACTAGATTTCTAAGAATGCCCACATCCTCTTACCTTTTTACATATTTTTGATGCCCATTGCTATTCAGTTTTAGATTAATTATTATAATCCCCACTAATCTTTTTAATACAATAAAAATTATAATCCCAAACATACCCTCTTGTCATTTAACTTCTTTGCTTAATTCTCAGTAGTCTTATAAAGACAAATTAATTAACCAAAGCTTGCAAAACCTTGAAGATACAAACCTCTTAGTAAGAGTTAAGAATCTAGAGTGGCCATATTTATTATCCTCAAATTCATTTCTATTTTTTGTTTTAAGATAAAATAAAAGCTCAGTATAATAATATTATGTAGAATAATAAAGCTGTATATACTGGTTGGTCCAAGTCTCTTTATTTCATCTTTATAAGGCATGATACTGCTAAAAACAACTACTGGTCAGAAAATCTAAGATAACAAAGGTTTTCATAATTGCTGATTTCATGGGTTCATGGTAGCATAAGATCTATAGAATACAGGGGTTATGAATACACTCAAAAATGAATAAATGCATTAATCATTAATTTTTGCAGACTTATGTCAATAGTCTATTTATATTCATTTAAATAATATTTTGTTTTAGGGACACATGCTTGACTCTTGAAAGAGTCAAATAGGTGTGACATTATTAATATTTTTGGTAAAGGGAGATTTATGCTACTTTTTCAAAAAATAATTTCAAAAAGGAGATCAAATAAAATACTATTTTTAGCTCATTTCTTTATTCCCAGGGTAAAATTTGAGATGAATTGCAA